TATATATGTTGAAATATGTATAAAACCTGTGCTTTTGTTGGTTTCTTTTTCTATGGGTATGTGTGTCTATATAAGGGGCAATTTGTGTTTCATTAAATAATAGCCTTTATCGCAGAATCTAAATAGTCCACCAGGATGCAATCATCGCAGTATCTCTCTCGTTGTAGCTAAAAATATACTCCGGTTTTATGCAAGACAACCAGCATGTTATCTTCGCAGTCTCTTTCTCTCGAACTTTCTTCACCGGTTTTCTGCAATGGAGCCTTTACTGACCCTCACAGTTTTTGACCTCATAACAGAAACTCGTTACAGTATACGAAATAGCAGATGGCACGCGAATTCATGCTGTCGACAGCAAAAATTTACTTTTTAAATTAAATATCGGATGACAAAAATGTTGATAAACATCAGCAAAACGAGAAATGTACTTGATGTTTAATGCTAAACATATGGAGGAAGTTTACAGCAAAAGGAAACGACCGTTTACTTCTTGTCTCTGATGAAAAGTACAAAAACAGCTGGAAACTCTACGTTATTGCTAACGGAAAATAAATTTTGATGAAGTTTATTTTATTCTCAAAGAAAATTATCGAGAGTATTTGTTTCTCAACTGTTTGTCATATATTACTGCAATAACAAATCTTAGGAAATACATCACTGGTCTTATTTTGACGATATATAGGTCAAAGAAGGTTTTTAGGATGAGATATATTCTTCAGTATTGATGCACGACCAGTCAACAATATTTAGTTCGTTATAAGGAGCATATACAATTCGGCTTGGCCTAACCTTCATGGTCAGATTAAGTGTAAACATTCATAACAGGTCAACTATGTTCCCGCCAGTCAATCCCAAGCTCTAGTGGTCAGAGAACATGTGTTCCGAATAACTATACGTGACAGTTCATTTTTTTTTACGGAATTTTAACGAAATTGATCCGACTAGAATCATGAGACTTAGACATTACATCGTATTTAAGACAAATGTGTATAGAAGATGTCTCAAAGAAACTGATGATCATTTGCCATGGTGTGTCCAACTGGTATATCAAATGTTTGTCCTTCACCTCATTATTAGTAACATTGTTAGATCAGTATTATTGCTATATTGATTGATCTGCAATATTTGGTATGTGAATTCGTGTTCATTGGTAGATTTCATTTGACCTTGACCTTAGTTTCAGGGTTCATTCTTTTATCTTTTATATTGCCGTTTTCCATCTATAAGGATATATTGCTTTGGTAACATGCTATCGCATCTTTTTAATATCAATTAGTGGTCGTTGTTTCGATTCCTGATGACACCCAATCTGTTACTGTCGAAAATTCGTTGAGCACACCACTAAAACATTTGTTGGATTATATATAACATAATGTGCTAAAACAGTATTTCTCATGACATGTATCCCTTGCAACGTAGGGAAATTTATATAACGGTAACATAATCCGCTCAAAGTTTCAAAATATCAGCAACAACAAAACCCATCAAAATATAACTCATACTATTAATGTGTGCTTATGAGTCTAGGTTAATAAATCCATGCCATGTTCGGTATGGCATTATCTTGAATCATGAAAGTTTACCCTGCTGGACAATAAACTTTTAGTATTTATTCTTAAGGTATGTTGACCAACAGAAATAATTGGAGTTACCACGATATTCCTGTATATTATACTGTTTATTGATTTAGATCGCTTATTAATGTAATGCCTCCAAAAACCCTTTGGAATATCAATAATTCTGTAAATTATCCTTTATAGATGGGAAATCGATCAAGTGAACGACTTCAGCGCATTTCCGACCCAGTTCATCGTCTGATCGTTCGTTACGATAAATCAGATCAGAATAGGTCACCCTACTGACATCATTGCAAAATGTTTCAAGCTAAGTGGAAATTTCACGAACACCTTTTTAAAAAAGTCTATGGAAAACATTTTGAATATAGCTATCCTGAAAAACTGTAAATTTTCTCAAGAACTCTAGTATTCGAGTATGTATTAATGTTATTGAAAGGTTTATACATTTGGCAATGTATTAAGTATAGACAAGAGACGTAAACCGATCCAATATTGTAACATGCCTTATCGCCGATGATATAATAGGAATTTAGTATACGTTATACGATGGGTGTCACTGACTGGTGAAACACCTTCGATCACCCACGGGTTTTTTTTTCTGTTTTTAGGGGTTTGTTGCTCGATCTTTAGTTTACAATGTTTTTTTTTCTTTTGAAGATTTTTTTTTATATAGTTATTTCCATATTTTTCAGTCATGGTGTATTTGTCTTTTGATATACGAATTATATTATAGCCCCCACCCCCCCCCCCCCTTTTTCCGCACCTTTCTTTTTGGATTTTCTTCCAAATTTTTAAAATAAAATGTATACACATTTACTTCAAAACATTCTAATTTTTTTCTCCCGACCAGAATGATATTGAACCTGGCTTTCTTGACACAAGAACACACATGTAATACGTGTGTATGGTACTATTGTGAGCATCAGGTTGCAACACACAAAACAGTTTCATATGGTACGGTCGGATGTCGGTATATATTTACCGTTATGTATACGTGCAACATTTGATGAATAACTACTCAATTACCGTATATGGGCTTTCGGGTAATAAAATACTATTTACTCAAATTAAATATTCATTAAATATTCATAAACTTTTCACGAAATGAAAATTACATACATTATAGATCAAAAGCCTACCCGACATCTGGTTTAAACAAATTATACAAATTTTCGCGAAAAACAGTCGTCAAAATCAAAGTGTTTCTGTCGAGGTGACAGATGGTGGCTAAGACAAATTAGTCCAAATTGAACCCAGTTCGTGTTTGACTTAGCGGTGTGGTATGGTTAAAAGGCAGGTGTTTTTGGCAGTTAGGAAAATATAACAAACCCGTTACCAGGTGAACTTTTACAACATAGTGTAAATTAAAAGAGTATTTGTCGCGTGCTCCTTTAAATTACAGAAGACCGTTAGTTTATTCACGCGTGCCTACACCAAAAAAAAAATGGAATTGAATTAAGTTGAGACCACCATGAACATTTTGCACCCTTCGTAACATCGATTTAAAAGCATAAGTGAAACCTCAATTTAACCTGGGACTAATACAGTCGATCCATGTGGGCTCCTATTCTGTTTATGGCTTCAACCTTTGAGAAGAAAAAATGGTTGGTTTTCCCTGATGATTAATAAAACTTGCCAATAAAATAAGTTTAGAAATTATTCCTACTAACATCGGTGCGAACGTTACCCGTCCCTCTGCTGTCCGTTCCGAAAACTATAGCTAGATTTGACTTGTCATCCAATTTAGATGATTCTTTCCATTTTTTTGCATGTCTACTGTGTTACATCAGGAATTTTAATAGGTATGGTATTAAAATCTTGTTAAGATCAAGTCGTGGCTTTTTTTTTGTTATATTGAAATCATTCTAGTTCAGTTGTAAGAAATCTATATTGATATATTAAATTACCTTTGAGCTTGAATAAGAATAGATAAAAAAATTCATATCAAAAGAAGAGATTTATTTTGAAAATATTTTGATAAATCTGGCGTATGTCGCAAGACCCTGCGATTGGTCAATTACTTTTAACAGCTGTCGTCTGTCGCGTGCCTTAGTCCATCATTTAATAAATTGACACCGTGTCCTGCACCTGTCAGTGACGTCATTAAAACTTAGAAAACCTCAAAAGTTTTAGCTTATTCTATCCGATAATGCTGTTTGTCGACGAAGATATTGATTATCATTTGCTCAACCCTGCATCTCGACTCAATAAGAGGCCATGCAGCCGTAACTCTTTTTTCCCCTTGTTTTTCCTATATACAACTGTTAGCGAACTATGTAAATCTTAATACGTAAGACTTTGTGTCCGGTGGTAATATTTCAAAATTTTACACTTAGCTTGAAAAAACGATTTAAACCCTTTGTTTGAAATTCCCACGAAAATATTGCCATCTGTCGGGGTGATATTTTCTTAGGTTTGTCTTATTTACTCATTTTGATCGATATTATTATTGAAAGTAGGGATAAATAAATCTTATTTGACTTACAAATAACTACCAATACCACGCGTCTTAGTTTTAATAGATTCAATCACATGATTTTAATTTAATGGAAAGAAAATGACATTTGATTCGTTCAGAACCTATTTTCAATTTAAATAGACACGTGCGCAAAAATGCGTTGCGTGTGCTCTTTGAAATGTAAATTAGAACAAGTCGCGTGCCGTAATTTGCCTTGGGATAACATTTCTACTGTAATTTGGTATATTCCATATCTTTCCCACGAACTTAGTGCCAGTATGATATGTTTCGGTGAGCTTAGTGTTACTAACCATCGTTTGCATGGCTACAAACTAATCCTCGAAGTCAAAACATACAAAGATTTGCATGAAATGAAAATGTTCTGCAACTTCTCACTTCAAGTAGAAAATGAGTCATATCCCAGGTTCTAGATTTGGCCCGCAAGATGTGTTAGCTTTGTAGCGATAACTAAGATATGCTGTAACTCGGTTGATTGTAACTTAATTCCCAGAGGAACAGTAAATTATCTAAAATATTTCAGTATCTCTTTTAATCGAAAATAACATTTTTGAATATTGCATGATTATGATTTGAAAAGTTTTAAATAATTTTAAACTGTTTTAGTTGTTTTTATCTTCTTTATACTAATATGTTAATTAACCAAGTTAAGATCAATGAAAAAATAATCGTATTACAAATATTCGATTTCTGGCTAGCATTTATTAAATTTAACATGTATATATAAAAAAATATATATATTTGTTTATTGTCAAGTTCCTTAATTAATATTATTTGTAATCAGACTAGCTGGCTCTTTAACGATTGTACACATAAATTTAGTATTATTCTGAACCGTGAAACCACGCCTCCAGGCGGGGTTGAAATGGATAGCTTGACTCTGATTGGATATTGGAAGATCAAAAGAAAAAAGGCCACATAAAACCGATAGACTGAGATTTTGAACACAGAATTTAAAAAGTGTTCAGCAGTAAAATATTGTCATACAAATTGTGGAAGTCCTTCGTAAGAAGGCTTACACGTTAAACTGGATTATTAATATATTTTTTGGATATTTGAGTGATATATTTTGTGATATTATTTATTATCAACATGGTGCCTCAGAACATTACAGGATCGTCAGTGTTTGGGTCTCAGATGATTGACCCTAACACACACACACCATACTCGGATGCTACTCAGTGCAAAAAAGCCTCAAATCATGTGAAAAGACCTATGAATGCTTTTATGGTTTGGTCCCAGATCGAAAGGAGAAGAATCGCTGAAGTTTCTCCAGACATGCACAATGCTGAGATTTCCAAAAGACTCGGCAAACGCTGGAAATTGCTGAATGAAGCTGATCGCCAACCATACATCGAGGAAGCTGAAAGACTACGCTTACTTCACATGCAAGAATATCCAGATTACAAGTACCGTCCACGGAAGAAGGCAAAGCCTGTCACAAAAACTGACTCTGGTAAGATTTCAAAATCTACTCTTTCCAAAAGTCGTAGTGAGAGAAATAAACAGAAAATTGCTGCTAAGAATTTTATTCACAATGAATTTGAAATGGACAATAATTCACACAGTCGTATAAAACTCAGATTAACAATTGACAAAAAGTTCAAAGACAGTATTAAAGCAAGCCGTGCCGTTCCAGTATCGTCTTGCCAACTGACACCACCCGCGAAAGTACCGTCCAGTCCCAGCATTTATTCCCCACCGACGCCTGAATCCACCAGTTTCTATCCCGAAGAAATCTACGACACACCAGCTGCCTCGCCTCAGGAAGAACCTTCAAAAGGACCACAAACTCAGTATATTGTAAATCAAACTAACAACAACAATGTTTCTCAGGGAGATGGATCATCACTTGCTGATTTGGACAATCTAACGGATGTGTTACAACTGCCTACAAATTGGCAAATGGAACTTGGAAATTTAGACTTGAGCAAACTTACTGACGCTGACTTTTCAAATTTCGGAGACATTCAAAATAACAATATCTCTAGTAGTGCATCATCCACGTCAAGTAACGGATCACACTTTGAATTCCCAGACTATTCCACACCCGAAGTATCGGAAATGATTGGTCTTGAAAGTGAATGGTTGGACATAGGTGTGCTAGGTTCAATTGCTGCTCACTAAGTATAAAATGTGCTTTATAACGGGACGATGTGCAAATTACTTTTGAAGTGATGAATTTGTTAATGGGAGGAACAACTGTCGAGAGATTTTTTTGAGGACCAGTATATTAAGTGTGTTTGAATAAAATTATATCATTTTATATTCATTTTTGAAATTACGAGTTGTGAAAATTGTAAATAAGTGGTGTGACATCATATATAACCGCATTATATAGTTTCTATGCATATCAGATTCAGGCATTCGAAATTTTCACAAAATGGGATTATTGTATAACGATAGTAGCTGTTTAACCCAGGTATAGATCTTTTTCATTTTAACTTGTGGTTCACTCATTTTTCATCCTTCATTATATGAAAAATTCATCAACTTTATATTCCATGAAAGTGCAGGGACTCAAATTGTGTAAATATATATTTTTTTGTAAGTCAGAAGTATTACAGCTTCCATATTTTTGTAAATTTTGCAATGAAAAAGTTAGAAATGAGATTCTCTGATTTGACCTCAGTACAAGCGTTTGAACAATTTTATTAATACTTTTTTCACTGTAAAACCAGTCAAGTTTCGAGGGATGCTGAATTTTGAAAGTTTTTTGTACAGAATGCGAGAAGGGGTGTTTATAGAAAGAGGTTATTTATTTGTGCTATATAAAAAGTGACTTATTTGTTATTATTATATAAATGTTTTCTCAATTGTTTTACATATATATATTTGATACCATTACCAACGATTTAAGAATAATATCTGGCATTGATGGCCAATATTGTACATAATGACATTCGCAAATTCTTTATTTGTATGTCATTTTCCATGTTATGTTGTAGAAAAAATACAACAATTTCTAATACACAAATGCATTTATCTTGTTTATTTATAGTACACAACACGCTTACCTAGACGGGTTTGTTTACCTTTTAAGCGCCTCCCTTTTCTGTCAATCACACCTGTCATTTCTGAGATATATATTCATAGCTCCGACCTAGCTTACAGCATGTACGCCACGGTTCGATGATCCAATATGAAAACATATACGATGCATATGTTTGTGCAGGCATGTAACCATTATTTTTCCACTACGGAAGTAGTAAATCTTAACCTACACACATTGGGAACGGTTTGAAGTTGCTTGTACATTAGTCAAATACATAATTAGTGGACAAAAAAAGCATTTTATTCCAAAATTAAGAAACATCACAAACATCGATTTTCAAATTTTCCCTAAAATTCTAAACGGACACTTCAAAATACAGTATAGCAATCAGTTTTGCACAATTAAAATCAAATTTAGCGATATCTGATGTGGATATTCGTGAGATTTCTCTGGGTTGTACATAATCGGTGTCGAACACAGCATATTAGTACGTTTGGGTTTTTGATTCATTCGATTTCTGTATCTAAATTTCTTTATGATTTAAAATAAGGAGCTGTGGTATGATTGTCAATGAGACAACTATCCACCAGAGACCAAATGACGATTCGAGGATTTAAAAAAACCGTACGTATACTCCTTCAACAATGAGCAAAATTTTGTGAAGTATAAATTTGTGGAATTACCACTTTATAGAATGGGTACCACTGCAGGTCTTGCATTTTCTGAAATAGAAAAACGTATGAAAAGCTGCAACTGTTGGTCTGGATGTTTAACTGGTCTTTCGCCCACAGTTGTAAACAAACAGGAAAAAAATAATAGTGTGATCTGTAATACTTCATGATGTAATAAAAACCACTAACATCATGACTTAATCCATGTATACAACAAAAATATGCCACTGAATTATGAAACGAAACGTCTGCTACGTTTGAACAGCACAACACAGATAGGTATCTCCAGAGGAGAACCTATGACCAGAACACGAATACTGTAGAAATACAATTTTCAAAGTACATTGTAGCTGAACTCTCTTGCAAACAACATGATTTTATATGAACATATACATATATACCATAATTTTCCATGCTAGAGAAGCAGCATCGTATCACACGCGAAAGGAAGCATCAAATAATATGTATAAACATTAAATATTTAGGTGTTAAAGTTCGGTGTCCAAGGTATTGTCACTCAGTGGACATTACACAATTTGCACAAATAATGCAATGGCCTGTACAGAGTTTCATGTTGTAAAAATGGGGGAGAGATGTTGGAGTTAGCCAGATGTAGGAGTTGCCAATGGTGGACGCTACAAGGACACTTAGTAAAATTAGAATATACATATAAATAAAACATGCACTTACACACACGCATATGCAAATGGACCAGCGAACGAGATGTTCGTTATGATTTATCAGGTTTTATTAAAAACAACTTAAAAAAACGACTGAGTTAACCGGTGCAAAACAGTACTATACATGCAATGTTAGTGAAAATTATACGAAAAACAAAAACATAGGTGCAGTGTATACAAGAAAACAATTCAAAATCCTGACGCCAGAGGTATTCGTATGGCAGCGAAGCACGGAATAGGATGTTGTATGTTAACAAATACGAACGAAAAGCAAATAGCAAGGTTGTTAACTTACGATAACCCCAGGGGAAAGTTAGATCAGACAAGTTATCAATTCTTGATAAATATATCAATAGATAGATGTACTGGAGGGAAAAAGCGATTACGTACACACGGAGAACAGTGACCATGACACTTGTGAATCCTTTCGAGAGAACTATATACCCAGTAGAGACACGTCAGGGGTCATGCCACTGCAAGTGGGTGGTGTCAGCCATCTGTCGAAATATTTTACAACTCCTTAATACTATCTTATGGTTGATTAATTGTGTAATTAATTGTATAAACAGAAAGTAAGGATTAGCTGTCAAAACAAAATTGACAAGAAGTTGAGCTGTTGACTGCACTCAGAACAAGTCTAACCGCTATCTTAAGTACTGATATGAGCTGGATTAAGATAAGAACATGCGTAAAATCCATATCTTCATATTTCTATTTATTTCAAATAGATAAAAACTTTATATATTGACCAGTTGATGGATAAACTGTATTTTGGTCAAAGACAAAGGAAATAAAAACAAACCGTGCAAACACTGCTTTTACAAATTAATTGAATGCTGAAGCATGTTAATGATGTTAAGTCGGTAGAACAGAAGAACATCAAAATAAAGGCACATTCAAAAAGTTGTGCACTGTTTAAACTGTAAATATATGGGTACCGGTACAACTATGACACTATATAAACTAAACAAAACTGTATTAAAAGTTTATATGGAGTACCAAGTGAACTGACCCTGTCATCAAAAATATCATTAAGGATCGGATATTGTGGTAAATAGTGTGGTATATTTGTTTTCAGACAACACCCGCGCTTTTTTTTATATCTTCTTCCCGCTATGCTGAATCACCCGTGTCAAGGACTTTATATTTCAATACACGTTTATTTAATGACTTGGACGGTCTTTAAATATTTATTTAAATTGAACTACCTGAGCGAATTACTATCATATATTGGCATACTTTCTAGGATGGCAGGAAGTTCAAAGTATTTATTCGCTATTGAGTACTTGATGATTTTCTTATTACGTGGTTTATATACATTATAAATAGTAATTTTGAATTTTATTGGATTTTTATATTCAGTACGTTTATATGAGTAATAAATGAAAAGTCAAATTATTTAAATGTCATAAATGAAGCGGTCACTCCATGCTTTGATTGTAACGTAAAACTGTTTGAAGGGGAGTAACTCTGATTGCCTCGATACTGCTTTATGCCATGTATGTTTACAGGCCAGACCTGCAACTGTTATGAACCATTAAACATCAAAGAAACCGATTCAGGATAAGAAATAAACAAAATAGAATAAATGAAAATGCAATGACTTCCAAAAGTATACTCAAAAATGCGATCAACTTCTTTGTTCCAACATTCGATTCCGGGTTTAGGTTTTTGAAGAAGACATTGGTTAGTAAGAGGTTTATAACATAAAAAAGAGGCTGAATATACCAAAAGGGAGAATCAACACTCATAAGTCGAAGAGAGTCTGTCAAAATCATGGCAACCACATGAAGAAAGAAACACGAGCACCACCAAAAAAAGCCAGGGTGACCTCAGATGATGTAGTGCATCGCCGCTTTAGTTAGCCGTAGAACAGGTCAATGATATATACAATGTATCTAAATAATTGTTTCAAGTCCGAAACGATAGAATGTAAAGGACAATCTGCAGAATTGATGAAAACAGAATGTTTACCCATGAATTCGATATGCACTCATTTTTTTCTAAAACATTCTACATATTTCTAAAAAGTTTCTTTATCATATCAGCTTATTTCCCTTTGTTAAAAGTGTTGTTGATTATATCAATGCAATATAGTCACAGTCGTATATTTCACACAAATTGGAAAAATAAGGAACAGAAGAATGTCACTTATATTTCTGTTACTATAAGGTCTGGAAAACATCATTAAAAAAAAACCACAAAACAAATGAAAACACAAAAAATAAAAAGGGGGACCATGAACCAAGCATGTGTGATTAACATCCCTTCAAAACGGGTAATGATAAATCCGAGATTTTAAAGGTGCTTAGTAATATCCATAGAAGGGAGAAGGTATAAGTCGAAAAGACAGTTATTCTATGCTTATTGGTTGTCCACATCTCTGTCGACGATCATAAACCCTAGTTAAATCTTATTAAGTATCATACAATGTATATACCCCGTTACAGCATGTAGACTTACATTCTAACTTTGAGAAATTAAAGTACACTGATATAAGGGAGAATTATAAATACTTTTATTGTTAAAAAATACGATTTTGAAACAGGAAATGATTTGCTTTGGCAAATTCTGTTTAATTATCATGAAACCAGACGGGTTTAAACTTCTTGAAAGAGGTAAGAGGTTTGAAATAATATATCTAAATGGTTTCCCGGAGAAAAAGGAAAACACGGTCACTCAGTTAAAAGAAATCAGAAAATTTAATGGTTGAAATAATTTCTAAAGACAGTTACACATCGAAGCACCCTTCAAGTGGGATTTTTTAAACGACTGTTCCTTTAAGGATTATCCTTACATCCGTTTTTTGATGGAAATAAATGTAAAAAGTCGAATATCAAAGAGAAAACCGAAAATAATATGTTTACCTACAGTAATGATAAAGGTCGTGTTTCTTCAACAATGAACCATTTGACACCTCGATCACAACAGGCGACGAAACTCACTTTCATCTTGGGAAAAGCCGATTTCTAAATAAAAGAATAAAAGTAAGAAAACCTTTTGGGCATATATGTTATTTCCTGTCTGACCCTAAAATCTAACAAATATTTAATTTCCCACTTGGTTGAGCAGTGTTGTTGTCGTATATATAGGTGTTTCCTCAGTCTTATAGTATATTTTGTGCACATGTACAGAAATTTATATAGTTATTTATTCCAAGATGAGGCGGAGTATAAATATCTAATTCATAACTCATATGCAACTTTTTAACAGAGGGGGAGGGGGCATTGGGAAAATAGACCATGTATGTATCTTATAACTTACCCATTACTGAAGGGGGATCGAGTACGGGTAGTCATTGGTTCAATCAACGACCTGGTTTCACCAAAGACTTGAAAATTGGTATTTGCTGCTTTTCCGCTCATCACGCGGCATTGTAATAGGGTTAAGAGCAAGAACTGAAAAATGTGTCCAGGGTGGTATATCTTCCTGGGGATTGTTACCTTGTGATTTATAACATTAAGAATATGGCTTGATCAGCACGTCGGTCCAGCAATCAAATAGCAGGCTTTAATTCATATCACATTTTAAAACATATTTTCGTGCTGATATGTTTGTAATACTTGCCACCATCTTAAATAAGGAGTTATCTACCACACTATGCAAGGTGTCCTTCGTTAGATATATGTGGCAGACAACACTTTTTTCGTCTTAGTAATCATAATTCAACAATTGACCGTCATAAATTTACACACCATCCTACAAAGAATTAAATGAAATAAAACACTGAATAGTATTATACTTTGTGTCACATTGGCACTGAACTATACACTGAATATCAGTTATGCGCCGTAGTCTATGTTTTGGTTGCGATTTTAATCGGATCACGGGGTGAGGTGACATGACAGCTGTGCTATACCTGATCTCCTCGTGTACCTGTTTTTTTCTCTCGGAGGAATTCAATACTTTACGGTATATGATGTTTCCACTATGAAACCAGGTTAAACTCTCTGATTTATAAATAGGAGCCCACATGTACTGAATTTGTCAATCATCGATGACTACCTTATCTTGTCCTCATTTTTATGCTATAGTGATCCGATTCGAAAATAGAATTGATTGATTGATGGCTGTTTATCGTCTAGAAGTGAAGATAACATCCACATTCCGGGCGAGAACATCCATATTTCAGATGGAATGTTGCTACAGAAATGGAGGGTTCACAATTGGGAAAGCTGAAATCATCTCTTTTATCGCAAAATACTGTTCTCGCCCAACCCTCATTGTCAATTTCTAGATGTAAGTCAAGTTAGGAGATAGACTGAACTTTATCTGTTAATGTAAAATGAGGGTATGCTGGGAATGAATAGAATTTTTGCCATGGAACAGGCCATCTACAGACCCCTCAAAGAGTTGCTGCAAGGGTTCTTTGAAGTACAGAAGGTGTGTCACTTTTCCAACACGAGGCATTGGATTTATTGTTCCCATTCTTACAGGATGTGGCTGCGTATTTATACTTTCCGCACAGACTATGGAAAATAATGATAGGTCTACTTTCTTAAAGGACAAAATCGTTTATAATACTAGTAAATATTATTACCAAATAAAAAGCAATTTATACCAACACATGCATGCTTGGTCCTTTGTTGATGCACTTCATCTCGATAGTTAATGGTTTTAATTTTTGCCGGAAGACATACAAAGAAATATCACACCTTACGGCAAGATCAAGATGACCCCGATGAAGCAGATTATAATCGTCTTAAAATTACATTATCATTTGCAAAACAGTATCATTTACAAGTTCATTCCAGCGGCAGATTTAGGGGGCTGGATACCCCGGTCCCCTTATGGAGCTTTATTTATTGTTAATGCAAAAGTTTTACCTCTAAACGTTTAGTTTGTGCCCCAAAATCAAAATCCTGGATCCACAACTGCATTCATACTAGGATTCCACTTCGTTTTTTTACCAATCACCGATTGGGTTCGTTATACAACCGACACGAACTACATCGAGGAACCTTCAAGGGATACATTCCATACGTTTATTAATAACTATTCGTAAACTTTCAAACATTTAAAGTATTGACATTTGAATTGCATTTAAAATCTTCAAGTCAGGGTTTTTATTCACACATCTTATGTAAAATAACACTTAAAAAACTATACGTACTTTTAAAGGGGCATTATCTGTCAAATTCATGTTCACCGATATGACTCAAATTCTCATATTTGATTTATAAAATGCTAAAACGACTAAAATAAACAATTAACAATGCATGGACTCGATAATATGTATTTTAGTCGAGACACCATCTAATCAACAATCAAGATGACCTCCGAAGACTACAGACGGTCATATAACCACATATAAACATAAATATAAATAGATATCGAGCAGGTGCAATTGGATTTTTCTAGGTCTGTTAGTTTTCATATCATGGGTTAAAAATTATGTTTATCATCGTTTTTACCTGTATAAGAATGATTTTTTGTGGATCGAATCAGTCAACCAAATGGTTCACCCTTGTTTCACTTTCAATGTTGACATTCTTCTCCTTTTAAAAGCTTAACACGCCTTGTATACATGCGTAACCCATCTCTAACTATAAAGGTTTAAATTGGTCGTCACATGCATACAGATTCAATGAGGCCAAGTTATTGACTTGCAAGGCAATAATACATCAGAGATGTTTTTGAGCTTATTTTGACAAATTTAGACCAAACTGACTGCTTATAATGAAATATATATTATGTCAAAATTCCACTTTTGTTAATACTTGAAACAAAAAAGAATCGTATTTTTGATTTTTGTCCAAATCGTAGGTAGTGCGCCTTTAACAGGTTCGCATTGTTTGCGGTTGACCCAGTGTTAGATCATGTAACTAGATTGGATGCTTGTAGTTGTTTCAATGGCAATCATACAAATGAGAACACATCTCCTTATGTTGATATATATATATATATATAAAATATACCTATCCGAAATAGGCGACCTATATTTGCGCGAATTTTAATTTTGACAGACCAAGTATTACGTTTGCGCGAATTAACCTGTAATTTGCCTGTCTTTTAAACCTGATAAATACATGTATATAATCGGAGAACCTTCAAGTCTAAAGCCTGAGCACAACTAAACATTAGCGTTCTTGGTTCATCTCAAGCAAATATCTCCATTTTTAAAAATTTTCTAAAAAAAACTCTATATCTACACGTAAAGTATATCCTCCAAATATCAATGCCGTAAAAAAAGTTCCCATATAAAGGTTAATCTTGAATATCGATTTTTCACCTTGTCATTTCACTTTATTTCAAAAAAAAATAATCTGTTTTGTTTTATTTCAGAAATTACGATTGTTTTGATAAAAAACATTATCCGTAAAAACGTAATAACTTAATTTTCTGAACAGGTCAATTACGAGCAAACGTAATGCGTTTTTTAACGTGCACGCGGATAAATTTTCGCACAGACAAAGGACAAATTCGCGCGAACGTAACGCGCCGTCCGAAACCTAAAGTTTCATTCCCTTTTGCTCAGAAGTTTTATACCAGCACTATAATTTAAATGTACGACCTTAAATGCAAGCTTAATATGTAACGATAATCAAAGATAAGTTTGTTATATGGTGATACTGATATTATCCCTGTATATTCTCATTTTTCTTAAATGAGGCGTCGATTCTACTGATGATGGACGAGTTTTATTGTATCGTTTGTATTTTAATAAGTCTTTTGAGCATATATTTGTCGTATTCAGTGGTGGTATGTCTTAAAAGAATGAATTTTTTCCTTATATCTTTCAGTGTTTTGCGTTTTAAAGAATGACACATTTTTGAAAGCTGCGATATTTTAAAATAATGTTCCTTACGCTATGATGCATGTGTGTATTTGTGCTTCTCTTTATCTCTAAAAAGTAGATATAGCTGCGCTAATGGGGTAAACTATCCGACAAATAGTCTCAGTTGATGGATCAGTCCGGGTTGATGCAGTTGTAATTTAAGAAGGAAAATCATGATCTTCTGTTGAGCGTGAAAGGTTAAATGCAATTATATCATATTGCCCTTTCCGATGGACACATAAAAGTAATATTAAGTAAATAAAAGGAAAATTTTCAAAAAGTAAAGTCTCAGTCACTATAGATTGAGGCATGGTTTGTATGTCTGAGTAAGTGCCTCTGTTGCCTGAAAGTCTTCCTTTGACAATACGGTACGATAACAAACTTCTCCATTATCAATTCCAAGTTTGGATCCATCAGGAATTCCAATATTCCGTATAAAGTAGTCTCTCTTTGGTCAGCATCACTGTTAGATCGTCTGCTTTACAGGTGAATAGCATTAATATCTATAAAAGGCTTCAGAAAATCGAACAATTACTATATTGATAGTACGTTGTCATGGTTATGCTTCATCAGTCTTGCAATTATCATATCCAATGTTTTGGAATGAAATTTTCATGAATTATATAGTCACATGACATCGTTATTCTTGGGATGCAAAATGGTTGACGCAGGAAGCTTTAGGGTGTTACAAAGTACTGACTACTTGTGTTCTTTATCGTAAATACAAAATTAACAAGAGTATTCTGAAATTCTTGAGGATATTGGAATCTTGTGCTATTGATCGATCCAAGAACATACTGCGATCAATAATTAATCCGTTTATAAGAATAAACAAGTGAACAACACGTGAAGATATCAACAGATCGTCAACTGTTTTGACCATCGGAATAATTGTAGAATGAGGTTCCAAGTATATATTTGTTTAATCGTGTCGATGGATTTTTTCTTTGATATATAAATACAAAGTGAAATCTGTCTTTTATTATTTTGTGTATTCGTCAAAACAGGTTCCGGTGCATCCGAACGGTCGTGAATCCGTCAACAAACAACTCCTTGAACAAAATGCCATTACATGTGCTACATGGCATTTTATTCTGACTATTTTAAAGGAGATGGAGATATACTTGAAGAAATGGAATTTAAATATTTATTAATGAGAAATGGGAAAGAAAATTCAATGCATCGGCCGCTATGTCATGGACGGGAAAACACTTGGGAAAGGCACTTTTGGCAAGGTGGAACTAGCCACGCATGGCGTGACAGGTTGTAAGGTGAGAGGTATATTTAAACATACCGCGCTTGTAACTTTTTCTATGCAAGTAAACGGGAAGCGGAAAAGGATTACGTAGGGTATCTTAAAAAGTAGGCCTCATTTATTAGGATATGCCAATTATGGTATTTTGGAATTCCAGTCATTTAAGATAAGTCTTTCGGTACTACCATATTTTGAACACATAAAGCCTGAACATAAAGCTAAACAGTACCATTTAGAAATTAAAAGTTCCACACAAAATATTATCTGTAATCAAATTTGGTCTTCCGTTTTCACATCTTTTGTAAGAGTTATCTCCCATTTGGACAAAGTGATTTTGTCATATAATGTTACAAGACCAAAACACTTTTAATAATCTGATCAATATTATTTTTATTTTCATGTCCACCTCAAAAAAATGTGGACTTCTTTGTTAAGCAATGATTTAAGTCCAGATATTTTTGGTAAAGTATAATGAAAAGTCCAGTAATTTTTGGTTAAGCACCATTAAAAGTTCAAATAGTTTTGGTAAAACACTGTTAAAGCCCAGAACATTTCCTTAAACATTATATAATCTATGCAAAGTATCCTTTTTTTATGTATTTTATCTACCTGCCTACCCTATTTTTTTCTACCACCAGACAGGAAACACACTACAAATGTACACATTTTCTTTTCTTTTGCCATGGATGAAAATTATGATAACAAGAATTGCAACTTGGCCAAACTCTGACTAATTAACCATATGCACAAGAAATAAGATTTACGGGAAGTAACTGTTAGTAGTCCAATGATATTCATCTTTATTTTAGTGATTCTATCATGTATTTCATTTTAAACCACCTCCCCCCCAATACATGTACAATAAAAAATAAAATAAAATATGACTATGTAAAATAAACTATAAAGGCTGAAAGTGAACATGAATTGCAAGGGTCTTGTAAGAATGATTAAGATTAACTGCTACCTCCCTAAAAGATATCTCTTCGTTTCCAAACCAAAGGAAAGACATTTTTTTGAAGTTCCATGTGTAAATTTTGAGAATACTCATACATGATTGAAATTGAATTTTTTTTTTAAGACTGAAACAAAGATGGAAATTTAATGTGGTGAAAAATGACTAAAATGAGCATAACTTGATAACATTACTACCATAGTATATAAATATTAAATAAATACTGGATCATTAATTGTTGTCCAATGTAACCTGCAAAGTCATCATCTTCCTTTTTTCTTTTTTTTTTTTTTATATATTTTAACCTTTTAATGTAAAGGAAAATAAAATGTGTTTATATTTATGCTACCCCATGATTGGCAAGCACTTGAACTGAATATTTTTTTAATATTCATATTTGAGGCAAAAATATATTAAACATACTATTTAAGGGCTTGCACTTGGAAGGTAAAATTTTTAACAATTAACAAGGAGGCATTACTAGACATGGTTGAATTTTAACTGAAAAAGTGGTAGAACTTAAAATCCTGCAGTGTCAATATTAGATTACATGTCCTTTCAACTATTGCATTGTTGGTCAGCAATTTAAAAAAAATTACTTAGTGTGTTGGTTTGTTACAAATCATTGTATATTTGTATATTGATATGTCATTACACGTCATCAAAAATATGAAAATAATTGTAATATTTACCGCTGGATATTAAACATCGTCCATTTATCAACAATCAGTCAGTCTTTGCTTGTTAAAGAAAATGAGCAACAACCCTGGTTGCAGGTGAGTAGTCAAATAAAGAAAATGACAAATATTCTCAACTCAAGACAGGAGCAATTTCAAAATATGAATACAAACATGAGATGTGGGGTATACATCGATATTAAATTAAGAAAGCAACACATAACAAAAGACAACCAAAGACAAGGTTTCTGACTTTGGACAGGCAAATGAACATAGAAGGTGGGTTAAACAGTTTAAAACTTTGTTTTTTTAATCTGAACCCTAAGGAGATTTTGTTGTGCACTGAAATTTTTTAAAGAAGAATAAAAAATTTTGTGACAGTTTGCTTATAGCTAGTACATGTAACTTTGTTTGGTTTAATGTAATGAGTGTGCAGATATTTTGAAAAAGTGTTTTCAGTTGTCCTATAAATTACAAAAAAACTGGTAATTCCCTCTTTCTGTTTTACTTGAAAAACTGTAAAAATAACTTTGTATGAGCATGTGATGAGCATATCCAAACAGTAAAATAAGGTCATATATAGTTGAACTATTATGCAGATTTATGTTTGGACAGCTTAATGATTGAAGTGTGACCATGGAAGTATTATATGGATAATATAAAACTTCCATGGTCTGAAACTGTCTATTAGTTTTGATATTTAAAGTCTGCACCTGAAACAGTGAGGCATTGTACTGTGTACACACTTTTTAAGAGAGAATCTCTGGCTGCTTTAATTCCTCCTCTTTTAAAGAACTGTAGGCTTTCTCTCTAGAAACAATATTTGTCATTGTATCCTATCAACTTCAATTTAATTTATTATCTCCATTAATTAGAAGACAATTTACTCAAAACATCAATTTAGTATTGAACAAATAAAACACATTGCATCCCATTGATTTGCTGCAAGTGTTTGAACCAGACTATTTCTAATTCATTTATTAACACAGATGAATGACAACACATTTAATTAGAAATCAGAAGCAATCAATAAAAACACTAAGTGAAGCTATAATTTAAACTATTTAACAGTGAAATAAAAACAATTGTGACCTTGACCTCACCTAAATCATTTGAACATATCAAATTTTTAATTTTACTTTGATGAGTTGCATGCTGTAAGTTGAATTTGTTGAAATAAAAACAAAAAAGATGATGGTATTAAATTTAGTTCTAAATTACCTTGAACTATGATGAAGAAATGTTTGGGAGAAGAGTGGCTCTTTTTCCAGTGCCCTACCAATTTTTAAGCACAAAATCAATGAAAAATATTATCTTTTTAGGATATTTACCGGTAAGTGAACAAAATCTTGCCTTCCAGAGTAAATTTATGTATTTATCTTATAAAAAGTAATAATGTGAAGAAACTAGAATCAACACTTTTATGAAAATGACTTTTTGAGTGATTTAATTGTTAAGAATAAAGGAGATGGATTCCACAATAAAGTTAGAAGAGTAAAGATATAGTCCCCTCAAAAGTGTCAAACATGAATCTTGAAATTTTATAGCATATAAAACAAAATGTGGATTTAATAAATGGGCAAAATTGTTTGTCTTGGAAAGGCAAGAAGTAAGCCTATGATTCCCATGTGTAGCATACAGTATAGATTTATGGTGTATGTAATTAGCCTGTCCCATTTCATACATAATTCAGGAACCTTGTGGAAAGAAAAATCATAGTATTATAAATAAAATATATAATATATAAATGGTCAACACATAAACATGATAATTTAATCCATTACTATGGAAATCCTGAATAAGGTGGGAGAATCAACCCTAGGGGGTTTGGAAGTAAAGGGATTATTGTAAATTATAAAGTCGTGACTTCAGTCGTCAGATGAACTAATATGTTATAACTTGCGCTGATGCTAAGGGAATAGACTTGACATATACTATAAAGAAGAAATGTATCAACTCTTTTTTTATTCTTACATTTAAGTAAATATTTCTCACATGTACATATACCTTTTGTTTTTTAATACTGTGGATTCATTATTATTCGTTGGATACCAATATTCGTGAATTTCGAATCGTGGGTACAGGGAAACCATGAATTTAAATGTTCAACGAATTGCAAATTTGCTGTTTGATTATATGCAGACTTTTGGAAAACCACGAAATCAAATATCCATGAAAATGCAAGTTTTCCTCAATCCACGGAAATTGGTAACCACGAAAATAAATGAATCCAGAGTACTGGATAACTGACCTTCTGACTCACTAATGTTTGATCAAATTTCTTCCAAAGCATTGAGTTTTCGTTATTATATCAATAATACCCATCATAAAAGAAAATTAAATTTAGGTTGACCCTGAGAACAAAAAATAATGGTCTCTACAGATACAGAAATACAATATCAAAAGATTGAATATCAGGCGGAAACCCAGTTGAAATAGAACAAAAGAATCGAAGCTCTTTGTTAGAGAAGGCGATAAATGCTTACTGTAATGTTTACTATAGTAACAAAAATTTTAAAAGTTTATAGAAACAAATAAAATGACAGTTTTCGGCTTAATTACGAAGTATTTTATCATAAAAACACCATTTGCATAAGTTTTCAATTTATCTATTACATGATTAAGCAGAACATTTAGATATCAAGTCGAAGACATGGGTGTCTATTAAGTTGGATCTATAAAATGCATAACCTCCGATTTAAACAAAAAAATTACTACGGACGGAAAACATATCAATCTATTTGTTCCTTAATTTTCGTTTCTGCCCTTCCATTATGTGACTCAAGAAAAAATTCTAAAAAATGGGTAACAATTGCATCGAAAAGAGAAAATCGAGTGCACCTTTTTATGTTAGGGCGTGTTTGAGTTGAATATTTTGATTTGAAAACGTGTAAAGCAAGAATATTTGATACATCATCTCGCTTCAGATTCTATCATTTTTAAATATCAAAGCTACAGGTTGACTTAATTACATCGAAAATTCACAGTACTAAAAAATGAGATATATAGGTCAAGTGAAATATCTTTCTGATGAATCACAAAAACAGAGTAGGGTGTGTTCGAATAGCAAATTTTTACTAAAAGTACTTGACGACAAACTTTTAAGTTGGATCTTAAAAATGCATATCTTTGAAAAAACTTCATTTTTTGTGAATGATAATTAGGGTTCATAGTCTTCAAACACTGAAAATTTTTAGTCTGCCCTTCCACGAAATATTTAATTATAATTTTTTTAAATGTTTATGAATTTTCAAAAATTCAACCTGACCACCGATCAAACAATAGTTTTAAGTTGACTGAATGCAGACACGTTCATTAACTGATGCTCATTAGCTAGTAGATACATTTGTCTTTTAAAATACAACTGGCATATAAGGATCGTAATGG